ACATCACCTCAGTTTCCAATTCTTTGCCACCATGGAAAGAGCTACTATAAGTATTTTTGTACACATGGTCTTTTCCTCTTTCTTTTATTTCTTTGGGGGTACATACCTAGTACTGGTATTGCTGAGTTGAAGGGAATGTACAGTTTTATAGCCTTTTGGGCATAGGTCCAAATTGTTCTTCAGAATGGTTGAGGCAATTCACAATTCCACCAGTAGTGCATTACTGTGCCTATTTTTCCACATTCCCTCCAGCATTTGTCATTTTTCTTTTCTATCATGTTAGCCAGTCTGATAGATGTGAGGTCAGAGTTGTGTTAATTTGCATTTTTCTAGTCAGTAGTAATTTAGAGCATTTTTTTTCATATTGATAGCTTTGATTTCTTCTTCTGAAAACTGCCTCTTCATGTCCTTTGACCATTTATCAACTGATGAATGGCTCTTATTTGTGTAAGTTTGGCTCAGTTCCCTATACATTTGAGAAGTGAGACCTTTATCAGAAAAACATGCCATAAAATTTCCCCCGTTTCCTTTCCTTCTAATTTTGGTTACATTGGTTTTGTTTATGCAAAACTTTTGAATTTAATGTAATCAAAACTATCCATTTTATGTCCCTTCATTCCCTCTATCTTTATCTCTTTTTTGGTCAAGGAGCTCACATTCTGATGGGGGAGATAACAAGCCACCAAATATGTACAAACAAGCTATGTTGTTGTTCAGTCATTTTTCAGTCATGTCCAACTCTTTATAACCCCATTTGGGGTTTTCTTGGCTAAGATACTGGAGTGGTTTGCCATTTCCTTCTCCAGCTCATTTTACAGATGAACAAACTGAGGCAAACAGGGTGAAGTGACTTGACTAAGGTCACACAGCTAGTAAATGTCTAAGGCTAGATTTGAACTCGGATCTTCCTGATCCCAGGTCCAGCACTCTATACATTTCGCCACCTAGCTAGCTAGGATAAACTATAGATACAGGACAAGTAGGAAATAATTAAAAGAGGAAGGGCACTAGATTTAAGGGTGTGGGCTGGGAGTGGAAAAGGCCTCCTGTCGAAAGTGAGATTTTGTATGGGACTTAAAGAAAGCCCGGAAAGCCTGGCAGAGAAAAGGAGGGAGAACATTCCAGGCATGGAGGACAGCCAGAGAACAATGCCCGGATCTGAGAGATGGAGAGTCCTTTTCATGGAACAGCAAAGTGTATTAGAGTATTGGTTTTGGAATCAGAAGGTCTGGGTTCTAATTTCAGCTCTGATGCTAATGGTGGATCTTGGTCAAGGCTTGGAGACTCAGTTTCCCTAACTGTTATATGGAGATAAAAATACCTATATCACATCTCTCACAGGGTTTTTGTGAGGTTCAAATTAGAAAATAAATATAAAATGCCTTGCAAATTTTAAAGGGAGAATATATAATTTACTATCTAATGTAATTCCTTTATTTTGCAAATGAGGAAAGGGAAGCTTTAAGTGACTCACCCAAAGTTACACAGCTAGTAAATAGCAGAACTGAGATTTGAACCTAGGTCACCCAATCATAGAATTTCAGAGTTGGAAGGGACCCCAGCAGCTACCTAGTCCTAACCATACCTGAAAAATAATTCTGTCTATGACATATGTGTCAAGAGTTCATCCATCTTCTGCTTGAAGATGTCTATTGAGGAAGAGCCCTTTATCTCTCAGCCCTTTTCACCTTGGGATAAATCTAATTGTGAAGTTTCTCTTTACATTAAATCAAAATTTGCTGTTGGTAGCTTCTACACTTTGCTCCTAACTCTACCAACTGCATGATACAGTGGATAGAGTACTGAACCTGTAGTCAGGAAGACTTGAGTTCAAATCCAGCCTCAGATACTGATTAGCTATATGAATCGGTGCAGATTGTTTCACTGTTATCTGCCTCAGTTTCCTCATATGTAAAATGGGGATAATAAGCACCTACCTTCTAGGACCGTGAGTACTGAATGAGATAATATTTGTAAAGTACTGAGCACAGTGTCTGACACATAGTGGGTGTTTAGTAAATGTTCTCTTCCTTCCCCTGTCTTTGAATCCAGTGTCCTTTTTATTATACCGTATTGCCTTGGTCAAAATCAGAGATGATAAACAGCAGAGAAAAGCTTTGAACTCAAGCCCACTGACTCCTAATTCAGTGCCCTTTCCATTGCCCTGCATTGCCTCTTAACAGAATGCTGGGTTATTTGCTCCTTCAGTGTGAGGTAACTTTGGCTTTACTCTCTATAATAACCTAGCTATGGCTCCAAGGGCTGTTTGGTTCATTGACTGTGGGGCTAGAGGACGGCAGGATATTTTATAAACAAATCCATTTAAATGGCTGACTTCTTCAGTTCTGGCAGCTTGCTAAACTGATGAAAACAGGTAGTTAGTTCAATGTATGCCACTGCATTGAGAACAGCCCTTTAGCCCAGTTTGATATTTAATGCTTCGACTTAACCATAACAAACACAATTTATGCTAATATGTGCTGTTTAAGGCTGTTTCTAACAAAGCCTGCAATTTTAGCCACTTCATGTTCTTACAACTGCCTGTTTACTGATGTTTAATTTCAGCAGAAAAGCCACTTCTTCCATTCAAACAGCAAGGAAAATGGGCATTTTGAGGGGAGTTAGTCATTTTGTGATTTTAATCCTGAGACTCAACAATATTTTCCTTGCTTTGGGTTATGGTGTGGGTGCTCAGTGGGGTATTCTAGTGGTGTCTTTCTGTGTCCTACAGTTGGAGAAGACTAGCCTGGATTCATGCCTGTGCCTGGCTGCCAAGCCAAGGATGAAAAGTGAGACCCTTCCCCAAGCAGGTTTTGTTGGGGGGGGGGACAGGGTGGCACAGGAAATGGATAAACTGAATCCATGGGATCCTAGATTGAGAGATGGAAGGAACTTTTGCGTTTTTCTTTTAATTTCTCTTTTTTTGTTCATTCGTTTATTTATTTTTTGATATTCTTTTTAAATTTTGAGTTTCAAATTCTCTCCCTTTCTCTGACCCACTGAGAAGGCAAGCAATATGATACCCTTTATGCATATAAAGTCATGCAAAACACATTGGGACCTATGAATGGATCAAGTGCAACTCCCTCATTTGACAGATGAGAAAACTGAGGCCCCATGAGACAAGAGACTTGCCCAAGATCCCACAAGCAGTAAACTGCAGAGCCAGAATCTGAAGCTAGGCTATAGGGTCATAGATTTAGCCTTGGCTGCCTTCAAGTCCTACTTCTTCATTTGACAGATGAGGAAACAGAAGCCCTGAGATGTGAAGTTACTTGCAGTTCTTAAACGGCTGAGCTGGGATTTGAATCCAGGCCCTTTGACTCTATACCCAGTGTCCTTTCCATTGTACCAGGCCCTAGGACTCCAATACCAGGACTCTTTCTACTGTACCATCTTACTTATTTTTAAAGTCTATTTCCATCATTCAACAAAACCAGTATAGATTTTTGTGCTAATATTTGAAAGTTATTTGATGCTGACAATCATAGTATGGTTTCTTAGGCTTTTAAAAATATATAGCTAGGCCTTTCCTCCCCCAAAGTTTTTCTCCAATGCTTTATCATCATATTAAGGTGACCCTCAAAGGCTTAGCCATTGGAGGCCAAGCACTGGCAGGTCCTATTAAGTGGAGAAGGCTTTGAGTATGTCTAGTGAGACACTGTTTCTGTCATTTAAGGACCAGCCTAGCTAAGTTCAGAGAGGTTGTTTCCCATGTAGGACATTCCCTTTCCCACTACTTTGCCTTTGCCTAGGCTGTGCTCCATGCCTGGAATGTGTCCTTTTGTCCCCTCTGCCTCTTAGATCCCTAGTTGCCTTGAAGACTTGGCTCAACCAAAGAAAAGATAGGAGAAGACATCTCCTACTACTTCTTTAGCCTCGGATAGAATGTTAGGGTTTTTTTTTCTTTAGTGTCTTGATAGGTTTTGCCAAATCTTTGTCTTTTCTTCCTTTTGGCCCCCCAAAATTATATAAAGCATGGCTCTTTGGGTGTGTAGGTGTTGGGGGGGATACAAGAGAAAACTAGGTGATTAGAAAACAAAGGTTATCCATAAAAATCTGCAAAGTTAGCTCTTTCCTGCCCATCCCCAGCCCGAGTTGCTAGTGCTCCAGGATTACTCTGTATAAGCTTTGTTTTACTTATTATTGACTTCTCTTTGTATGAGTTATTTCCTCCCTGTATAATGGGAGAATGTTTTTGTCTTTTGTCTCTGCAGTGTCTGACACATAGTAGTCCCTTAATAAATACTTACTGAATGAACAAATGAACCAGATGGCTGCCAACAAGATTTTTCTTTTGACTCACAGACCATTTACTTAAGGCAAAGAAGGTGTGTTGATCAACAAAAGACCCAACACAACAAAATCATGGAAACTTGAAAGAAGTGAAGCCTTTCTCAGTTCCATGGACTTTTCTTCTGTACCAGGTTCATCACAACCATTTTGTCGATAAAGGTTATTTTTTTTCAAGTTCCGTTTCAAGTTCCGTTCTTAAGTGGCTGAGCTGGGATTTGAATCCAGGCCCTCTGACTCTACACCCAGTGCCCTTTCCATTTTACCAGACCCTAGGACTGCAATACCAGGACTCTTTCTACTGTGACATCTTACTTATTTTTTAAAGTCCATTTCCATCATTCAGCAAAACCAATATAGATTTTTGTGCTAGTGTTTGAAAGCCTCTTTCCTACTGCTACTCCTGTAGCTCATCTAGTATAAGAAAGTTGGGTGGCAGGCCTGAAGGAAGACGATTCCTTGGTGAAGGCAGTTAGGTGGCACAATGGATGGAGTGCTGGTCCTAGAGTCACGAAAACCTGAGTTCAAATCCTGTCTCAGATACTTAGCTGTGTGAACTGGGGCAAGGTAGTTAACCTCTCTGAGCCTCAGTTTCCTTATCTGTAGAGATAATAATAACACCTACCTCATAGAGTTTTTTTTAACGTTTTATTTTTTTCCAGCTACATGTAAAATTTTTTAACATTTTTTTTTAAATTTTGAGTTCCAAAAATAGGAAATGCTTCACAAATTTGTGGGTCATCCTTAAGCAGGGGCCTTGCTAATCTCTGTATCATTCCAATTTTAGTATATGTGCTGCTGAAGTGAGTACCATACAGCTATCTTGAAGATCAAATTAGTTAACATGTAAAATACTTTGCAAACCTTAAAGCACTATGTAAATGGTAGTTATTATTGTTATTGTTATTATTAATAGTAGTAATAGTAACAGCAGCAGTAGTAACAATAACAGTAGCAGTAGTAGGAACAGTAGCAGTAACAGTAGCAGTAGTAGTATTATAACAGGCTGTATGACTTAAAACCAGTAAGCCCTCATGGCAAGGCCCCTAGCACCCATGGTTTTTGGTATATGGGGAATGTAGGAGAATATAAAATAAAGTAGGAGTCAAGAGCAAGCCACTTAATCTCTCTGAGCCCCAACTTCTTCATCTATGTAATATGGGGCTGGAACTAAGTGACCTCCAAGGTCCCTTCTGCTTTTAAATCTGCCCCTCTTCTTTGATGGACAATTTTCTTAAGGGAATCTTAGTTAGTAGATAGGGATTCCTCATCTCTTTAAGCTCAGCTCTTTAAATTGACTGATGTTTTAGATTCTATGTTGAAGTTCAGCCCTAACGAGATATAGTTCAAATTGTTCTACAGAATGGTTGAAATTTCACAGCTTTCCAAACAGTGCATTAGTGTTCCAGGTCTCACTCTTGGCAGAGCGGTAATAGATTAAAGATGAGGAATGAGACATGTATTCCCACAAATGGCCAATGTGTTGATTTGTTTTGCTGGACTAGACATATTTGTTACAAGAGAGGCTTCTGGTTGGGAGTGTGAGGTGGTAGGTTGGTGGATAGTGATAGATGGTGCAGAAAATAGAGATAATCAATAAAACATTTTTTAAGTACATAGAAGAAAACAAACAAAAAGCACAGGTGGGAACATAAAAGAGTGGTTTTCTTACTGATTTGCTAAATTTCCTGTATACGTGTCTATTTGGATAGGGACTGGAGCCATGATTTCATTGGCATAGGAAATTTAAAGTCTTAATTTGGCTCAGAGGTATGCTCAAGGTCATATAGCCAGTATGTGCTTGAACCTCCTGGGTTTGTGGTAGGCTCTCTATCTACCTTGCCATGTTGCCTCTTGTGTAAATATGTAACATGGGCTCTGGAGATTTTGTCCCCAACTCTCGCTGGCTTTGGTAAGTCAATTCCCCATTGAATAACTATTTACTCCTCCCTTGAGAGTTCTAGGGGTAACCTAAGGGCTAGGGCTTTATTATTTTTTTCTGGTAAACTCCATGCAGTATATTCCTAATATAATTTAAGCAGTCAATATCTCTCCAATACCAATTAACTAAGAGCAACTATCTTTTACACAAGGTTATTTACTGTGAAGTTTTAGCAAGGATTTACAAAAATTCCCCCTGCCCCCAAGTGTACTCTCCTCAATATACCCACTTCATCTCTGGGGAGAGTGGGCTCACACTTAAGGTGATTGCTACAAAACATTTTCCCCAAAGTCTAGGACATATTCTCCCGTGAGTACATACAGAGTTTAAGGGAAAATACATTAAAACTTAGCCCATGTGGATGGAAATCCTTTTCTCCCTTCATGAAGTCTTTTTTTTTCCTTTTTTATCAAGGTGCTTTGTTTTTACATTACAGACATCTCCAGATTACCCCCACTCCATGTGAGCTCTCTTACAACAAAGTAAAACAATTAAGTAAGATGAATAATACAGTGATCTCATTTGAAAATGTATCTAATAATACACATCGGTAACCTCCCTCCATCCGACCTCTCTATTTTTAAGTGAAAAGAAAGAAAGAACAGAAATCTGTTTTCTCTTCCTCCTACTGTCTATCCTATTGGAACAAAAGAAAAGAAAAGAAAAATGAATTACTTGTAACAAATACACAAAGTCAAGCAAAACAAAATTTCTCTTTGGTCACATACAAAAATATATCTCTCTGCAGTTGAAATCTACCACTTCTTTGTTAGCAGGTGGATAGTGATATATCTTTGATGCAGACACCGCTGTCAGTCGAAACCATTGGGGAGCCTGGTTACCATCACTAAAGGGAAGTCCAAACCTTCCAACATTTTGAAGGCCACAAGGTTTCCTCTAGCCAAGGACTGGTGGCAGAGACAGTTTCTGCTTTTGTCCTTTCCCTAGTCCCAAGCAATTCCTCCTTTTTTTCTCCTTTTAAATAGCATTTTCCAATTAGATTTAAAGACAATTTTTAGCATTCATTTTTTATAAAATTTTGAGTTCCAGATTTTCTTCCTCCCTCCCTCCTCTCTCCCCTCCCTAAGACAGTAAGAAATTTGATGTAGGTTATGTATGTGCAATCATGTAAAACATATTTCCATATGAGTCATGTTATGAGAGAAGAAACAGAACAAAAGGAAAAAAAAACATGAAAAAAATAAAGAAAGTGAAAATAGTATACTTCAATCTGCTTTCAGACTCCATCAGTTCTTTCTCTGGAGGTGGACAGCATTTTCCATCATGAGTCTTTTAGAATCATCTTGGCTCATTGTATTGCTGAGAGAAGCTAAGTCTATCATAGTTGATTATTATACAGTGTTGCTGCTACTGTGTACAATGTTGTCCTGGTTCTGCTCACTTCACTCTCAAGCAATTCCTTCTTGAGGGGCTTGGCTCAGACCATTGAACTGATCTGAGATTGAAATCTTGGTGCTGAACTGGCTTGCTTCTTTTATCTAATCACTAGTGAGTGTGACTCCCAATACATTTCCTGTGTAGCATCATTTCATTTCATTCGGAGGCTTGAAGCATTTTACTCCTTCAAAACATTCAGGACTTTTTTCCTTACCTAAAAGGTATTCCTTTGATTCAATAGAGGTATCAGGGAATCGTTCACACCTATTTTGTACCTTTGATTCTTCAACTCAAAGAGGCATTCTTACTTGATCAAGGTGTCAGACCTTCAGAACCTTGCTAGTTAGCTAACTGGGATATGGGTGATTGATTTCATTGAGGACTCCAGATCTTTTGTATTTGATTAGAGCCAGGTGGATCCCCACCCATATCTATATTCATCCATCTCTCTCTGTCTCTGTCTCTGTCTCTCTCTCTTTCTCACTCTCTCACTGTCTGTCTTTCTCTTTCCCTCTCCCTCTCCTTCTCTCTCTCTCCTTTTAAAAACAAGCAAACTACATAACAGAACTTCAATTTCTTATGCAATCCTCTTGTTTTTATGTTGAAATATTTGTGTTTATTGATAATTAAATTCGTGATAAAAGAAAATTTAATTATTAAAAAAGAAATAAACTATTGAAATTTCAGATGGTATAATGACAAATTTTGTTTCATTCGTTCAACAAATATTTATTGAGTTCCTGTTGTGTGCAAAGAACCTTGGTCTGGGCACTGGGGAGATGCAAAGTTTAGATAAAAGCTGGTTCCTGTCCTCATAAAGATTAGTAGTCTAGAATCCTTCTTAGAAAATCAGTGCTGTAGTCTTGATCTTGCCTCTCTGATCGCAGATGAGTAATAGTTAATCTGGGAGGTTGTGATGGAACCTGACTGAGGAAAAATGAACTCTCAGAACTTAAATCTCTGGCCAGTTTAGAGGCAGGACTTTCTCAGCCTGAACCTTAGTGTATGGGCCAGTTTTAGGGTCACAAGGGTTTATTGTCTGAGAAATGACCCATTTTTCCTGGAATCTTTCCAACCAATGTTCTAGGACAGCTTTGGGAGCAGCCTGTGCTCTAAGGTTATAGGTTGATGGTGACAGACACATTCTGGAATGGCGGGCATCCTGAGTCCATATGGCTTCCTCTTCACCAAGGGATTCCCCTAAATATCCTGGGTTGTTTCACGCTGTTTGTTTTATAACTCCATCAGGATGTGTCTGTTCTCTCTCTGTGTTCTTTCGTGTGGCGGGCTTTCTACTGATTTTTTCCCCAGTGGGTCAACATCTGTTTTACCTAGATTATAAACCCCGGCCCAAAAATCTTAGGGGAATAAAATGTTGGGCAGAGCAGGTTAGTATGAGGAATTCTCCCATGTGAGATTTAATATCAGGGTCTCAAAATTGAGAGGACTCTGGGAGTTCACTTAGACTAGAGATTCTTAATCTTTTTTTTCTATCATGGATCCCTTGGGCAGTCTGGTGAAGCCTCGGGGCCCCTTCTCAGAATAATGTTTTTAAACAATTGAATGAAATATTAAATTTGAATTTAGATGTTAGTGAAAATAGATATAATTTTTTTCCTATCCATGTTCTTGAATCCTCTGAAGTCTCTCACCAGGCTAGGAACGTTTGATCTAGACCAAGTTGTAACTTAACAAGAATTCATGCTACACCATTCCCAGCAAGTCATTATCCAGCTTCTTCTTGAAATATTCCAAGGACCAGACAAGGACTAGCCACTTCCCAGGGTGGCCTAGTCAACCTGTGGACTGTTATTACTGTTAGAAAGCTTTCTTTACCTATAGCCTTAACCTGCAGCTTCAACTCATTATTCCTAGTTTGTCCTCTGGGGCCAACCAGAGCAAGTCTAATTTGTCTTCCGTAGGGTAAAGGTCTTCAAGTGCTGAAATCACATCCTGCCAGTCTTCCCACCAAGGCTTCTTTTCTACAGACTGTTCCCTATTCTGGTACTTAGTGGCTTGTGTGACCTTGATCAAGTGATTCAGCCTCCATTTGCTAATCTACAATAAGGCAGCTGGTGTAGATGACTTTTGAGGTCGTTTGAGATCTAGTTCTATGGCGGTATGACCCTTCAACTTATATATGGAAGGGGTTGATCTCCATCTCCTTCAGTCTTCTCTACATGCACAACAGCTTGTTAATATCCTTCCCAAACTGGCCCCCAGAACTGAACACAACATTCCAAATACAGCCTAAGAGGGACAGAGAAAGCAGAACTATCATAGGCTCATTGATTTAGAGCTGGAAGGGACCTTAGAGGTCAGTCCTTCATTTGATAGATGAGATAAATAAGACCCAGAAAAGCAAAAAGACTTGCCCAAGGTCACACAAGTAGTAATGAACAGGATCAGGATTCAAACCCATTTATTCCCATGTCTTCTTGCTCAAAAGCCAGCCTCTTTATCCCCTTCCT